AATGGGGAAGATCACCACAAATGCCAGCATCCTTGCTGAAGTCAATGTTACCAGCACGGTGTCAGTGAATTCAGTGAAGATGTGATTGAGAATCACCAACACTGTGCTGGTAACATTGACTTCAGCAAGAATGCTGGCGTTTGTGTGGTGATCCTCACAGTGGAGGCACTGTCCCTGTTTGATTCTCCACATCAAATGGGAAGACTTTCTGGAGCCCTCCAGGCTCTACAGATGACCACAGAACTGCACATCTAATCGCATGGCTAATGAGAATATTTGAGTTTCTGAATCTTGAGATATGGGGCAGGAGGAAGTCCCGTGGAGAGGGTTTCACAGTTCTCTGTGTGCACACAATCTTCTGAGCCTGTGAGTGAATAGTTAGGGACATAGATCATGCAGAGGTAGGAACAGAATTAAAACTGGGGACTAGACCTACTCATAGCTTCTCCTGTATGGCATTTCTGTGGAGGAACTGGGGCTATGTTAAGGGTTGACTGTTATAGAGCTAAATTAACTGACTGGACAGCTCTGGAGGGTGTCTACAGTATCACAAACACTTCGTGTAGAATTCAGAAAAAAATTATTTTTAGACACTTTAATCATTAGGTACTTAATCATTTTGTTTCTTGAGAGTGTTGTATTATTAAAAGTGCTTCCATGACTGAATGAATTTGGCTGCTGCTTGTCAGCTGTGTAGAGTAAACTGGGATCTGTGAGATGTGTGAGTATTGTCATATTGTGGATTCAGATGAACAGTAAGTACCAGGAAGAAGGCAACATCTCGAGCTACTGCAGTCCTCATGAAAATGAGGCACTTGAATATGGGTGTCATCTCTGACAGATTCCCATGTTGATGGATTAGATTGCCATTGGTTGAAAATGTGGCTCTTCAGTATTTTAATACTGACCTCTTTGCTGCTGGAATGTGCAGCTGTTCTGGTGACATCTTCCTGTAGAGCAGGGGTTGGCAAAACAAGGCCTTCCAGATGATTTTTTTTTTTTTTTTCCATCTGACCACAGGCAGTGCCTACCAGTTCACTGTATCTGGCTTGGCTCTGGGCTGCCCCTGCTGTGCTCTCATGGGGCTGAGCCCTGCTCACTCCTGCATGGGCAGCGCATGCTGCGCTCCCACCCTTGTCCGTGGGATGGCCCTGACTTGGCCCTGCAGGTAGGGAAGTGGCAGTGGTGGTGGGCAGTTGGAGAGAGGGGAGGGTGTGGGGGCAATGGGCAGGTGGGAAGGCAGGGAAGGGGTGGGGGAAGAGTGGCAGTGGTGGTGGGGGAAGTGGTGGTGGCCATGGAGAGGCTGGGGGAGTGCAGAGCCTGCACCATTGTGCCGGGCATCTCCCTTAATATACCAAGGGACTTGGGTGGGGGAGGGAACTGCCTAGTGTAAGCCTGTGGTCATGAAGTTTGGGGTAATAGTGTTGTCAGTACTACAGATGTTTTTCTCCACTCAGTTATTTTAGTTGTCTACCGATTGTAAAACCACTGTGTGGGGGGCAAACTGGTGTTACTGGGCTGTCAGCCAATTCTTGTATTTATCTTGCAACATGTCTGTTTAGCCATGCCTTTAGTTTGGCTTTGTATGGACGACAGCTCATCCTTCTAAACTCTCTTTTGTTTTTGTTTTTTTTTCTATTTAATTAATCTCATTTGAGAGACGATGCCCAGGACTGAATGTGTTATTCTAGGGGAGGCTATTTGGAACCAGTTTTCTTTGTCTTCATTTTATTTATCATTGACAATTTTAATAGGCAACCTATTGATTCATTGTGAAGGCAAAATGAAACGACAGAGCATAAATCTAAATGAACTGCTGTCTGTGGTATAGAAAACCTTGAATACCTCTAATAGAAAGTGGGTATTCCCTAATAGTCCTACAGACTCTCATTATGGGGTAGGAAGAGTATAAAACGCATCAGTTTTTGGTGATCTTTCTTCTTTTTTAACCAAGAACCAGAGAAGATTCATTTGATCTTTAAATTGACCTATTTAGATCTGTAATATTTGTAACTTGAAAGCTTCATGTTCATCAAAATAAAAGCAAGGTTATTCCTGTGATCATTCTTTAAGCTTTGTGGGGAAAGAGAACCACTGTAGTTAGGACTCTTTACTTCTCATCTGCTACTCTGTAGCTTTATCTGTATAATGTAGGGGTGTCAAATATCCAGCCTATGGAGCTGTATGGTCCAGCCCATGCATGGGTTGCTAGATCAATCTTTGCGTGCTGGTCCTGGACCTGGCCCGCCCCGGCCTGGCCCAGCCCTGCAACATGTGGGCCGGACCTGGCACTGTGCGCTCTGCAGGCAGTACAGGGGTTAATCTGGCGCACATGCTGTATATGTTGCCTGTTGGACTGGCCCTTCATGCAGGCTCTGGTCCCAGTCTGCATTGGTCCATACCAGAACCAATGCAGAGAACCAATCTGGCAGGGCTCCACATGCAACGCGTGTCTTGTGTCGGCCTTCTGTGCTCCCTAGCCCCGCATGACACACGTAGCATCTACCAGCCTCAGGGCTGCACATGACATGGTGTCTGGTCCCAGTCTGGCCTGCAGACTGACCTGGTGTCCCTTGCGGGGTGCGGGGGGGGGGGAATGCAAATGAGTTTGACAGCCCTGGTGCAATGAATACTATATAGCCTGATATTTTTCCTATTTCTTTGTGCTTCTGGTAGGATCTTGGTCACTTAAACTGAAGTGAAACTTTCTCTTTGGGATTAAGATCCAGTATAGAGAATATACCTAGAGTGCAAGCTGGTCTTCAAAGAGAGTTCCAATACACATTTTATTTTCTGAGCAGTAAAGGAAACTTATGACACACAAACTTAATCAAAATGCTCAGAAAACTTAAAAGGACCTCAGTGTTAATGAGATCTATGAAAATAATATTAGGTCAAATCTTCTGTGAAGGACTGCGGTTATGTTGTTCAAAACAAGCAGGATATTACTGCCATCAGATAAAATTATATCTTGCTACTTTGATTTGCTATTGCATTCATATTCTTCTCTAAATAGGTATTTTTTAGAACCTACTTATTTTTAATTTGGAGGTGAACTGACTGAAACGTGTTTTGTTCAAGAGTTGCCATCGCAAAATTATTTCAAATGATAGAGTGGAGGATGAGTGAATTGAGTGGGTAGTGCCCAATTTAATGACTGCACGAACAGCATCTAAATCCACTGGGGCCAAAGGGGATTGCAGCTGTTGGGAAAGGTAGGTGGGAGGGGAAGTACAAGGCTTTCTTTCTCCATCACTTTGGCATCTTGCAAATTTATAGTCTCTAATTTTGCTTCCTCTTGGATGTTTCCATGGAGGCAGTGAACTATATACTACAGAAAATGATGTGTGTGTGGGGGGAATTTCTCAAGTGCAGCCCACCCCAAGAAGTCCAAAATGGTTTCAGTCACCACCTTGATAATCCATAATATGCTTAAAAATAAGCTTCAGAGTCCTATGTGAAGCTCAAATGTACGTGTTGGGAACCCTGATCAAAATGTAAGGATTATGAATGTATGATCTCAAAAGCATCCAAGGAGGTTATAAAATTCTTTCTTTGACCTTGGTATCTGAGGCAGGTCAGTTGTAACTCCAGCTGGGGCATTTAGTAACTAACGATGGGTGGATGGATGGAGATATATATTTAAGATCATGTCCTCCAGTCATACCCTTACTCATTGGTGTTTGGCATCCACCTCCTTACTTCTAAGAAGGGGAATGCTTTCGGTTCATGAGCGGGAGGCCTTCTGCCTTTGAAACTGGCTCTTCAAAGACACTTGGCTATTATTTTAATTCACCCATCTTCCATCTTGCTATTCAGAAATGCTTCGAGTGTCAGCTCTTCCTGGGTTGTCTGTGATAAGGTGCACACAGCCTGCATCTGATGGTATCAGGATGGCATAACCTGTATCACCTGCCAGTTAAAGCAAAAGTTTCTCCCTGAATTCAGTTAGAAGGTTTTTAAACTGGGGGAAAAAGAAAGATTTGGGGGCTCTAATTGAAAGGGAAATGACTCCTGCTTCACTGGTCTTGGCTCAGCTCTCCCCTAGCTGCAAAGGCAGCCTGTTACAAGGTCCTGGCAGTTTGGGGATCATCCATCTTTTTATTGCTTGTAAACCTCGTGCTTCTTGAGGGGCCTTGGGAATGACCCAACTTGTTTAATAGTGAGTGATAGGAACCTGTTTTTTCTTTCTTTCTCTCCAATAATGTAAAAACAAGAAAGGGTGGGGGAGGGAGGCAGATGGAAAGGAGGGGGTAGGGAGAGAGGAAAAAAGTGGGTTTTGTTTCCTTTAGAATTAGGCTGAAGCATTAAAGTCAATAGTCTGACTTAAGGTGAGGAATAACCTTGTCATTTCTCCCTTAGTTCCTGAGGATAAATTGACAGCCACGGGCCAGTCTTGCACAGCATAGAATATTAATTCCTTGCAAGCTTGCTGTTTACCTCCTGAGATGCTCTGCAATCACTCAGGTGCCACATCTCTGTACCAGAATAACATGCACATCTGTTGGCAAATAAGAACCCACATATTGTCTGTTTGAACAGATATGCTGTGCGTTGCCCATCAAAAATACCCTGCTGCTTCCCAGTTCCCAGGCTGCCTATCTATATGGCAAGACTACTCCACAAAATAGAGATATTGGAGTCTTTCCTTCTGCAATGAGCAAGATGTGTGTGTTTTTTATTTATTTTCTACTACCTAAGGCTTCATGTGACAGCAGTGCACTGAGATGTGTCTAGACTTCAGTAGGAGATCTGAACTGCCCGTGAGCTTGGAGCAAAGCAATTTGAGAACTGATTTATTTTGGAGCCCCCTCTACTTGCTTTTCAGCCTTTCACACATTTCAAATCTAAAATCTTAATAGCCTTGTATTTTATTGGGTGATGTTACACTGTGAAGGCAGCACTGTGAAAAGCCAGATCAGTCCTTCTTTCACTCTGCTAGGAGGAAAACCATAGCCAGCTCTTAATGTAGAAACGATTCCTGTTGTTTTCAGTCCCGTCTGTTTCTATTGCAGATGGTCCCTATTCCAGCTGGAGTGTTCATGATGGGGACTGATGAACCTGAGATACGGCAGGACGGGGAGTGGCCTGCTAGAAGAGTTCATGTTAACCTGTTCTACATGGATCAGTATGAAGTCAGCAGCACAGAGTTTGAGAAATTTGTGAATTCCACGGGCTATGTTACAGAGGTAAGAGGAAAGCGGTGGTAACTTCTCTTCTAATATAATGGCATTGCTAGGTGTGTGTTGGTGAAACTCTTCTTGAAACTTCTTATGGTTTGTTTTCTGGGTTTGCTTGGGGGTTTCTGCATTCCAGATGCATGCTTTGCCTATTTTGGTGGGGAAAGGAAACACTTTTATTGCTTTTAAAGTCCCCTAGGAAGGAAGAGGCTCCACAAGGACCCACTGATTCCTGTGCTTAGAATGGGCCAAAGACAGCATGTACTTGACCATGGTTTAAACTCGTGCCTGATACGACATAATTTACCTCAATAGCATTAGATGAGGTAAGAACGGGTACTGTTGTGATTTGGTATCTTGGTGTCTGTATTCATGCAGACTTCTTTGAGTGGGCACAGCAGCTGTAGCTGTGTGGGGATGGTGTAGTTATCAATGTCTCCCAGTAGAGCTATTCTGTTCCAGTACAGATATGTAATGAGGCAGGCCAGTGCACTGGCCTGGGTTCATACTGGTAGTACACCTCTTGGTAAATCTCCTTGGTATAGTCAGGCTCTGAAAGAGACTCCTTAGCTGTGTGCTTTTAATACACTGTCTTAATATGTTGGAGGAGTTTTTAGACGTTTAGACAGCTGGAGCGTCTTCAGGCTAGCTCCACGCAACTGTGTGGTAGCAATCTGGACAATACATGCTTTGCTGCTTGGTATCCATCCCTTTATTAAGCAATAATAGTTGCTCTTAGCTTATTTGCAAGTACATTTAAACTATGGAAGTATAGCCTAAGCCTCTCCTACAAAGAGTAGTATATTCTTTCCAGCCAGTTCAAACAGCTGTAGTCAAGCATGTGCCTGACATTGTATAGACCTCTTAACTAAATGTTGTTCACTGCATCTTCACACCTGAGAGGAGGTAAACTAGCTCGGGATTGGATGTGATAGCGCTTCTGGTTTGAAGCTTAGCTAGAAAGCTGCTCACCTTGCTTCAGAAGAATCAGCTCATTTGTTAAGTTGTTGGTTCAGTAACTGTTAAGTGCCTGACTTTATAACCTAGGTGAGTTTGAACAGGGCTTCATTGCAAATGGCTCCAGGGGTGGGTCTTTATACAATGAAGAGTTAAGAGTAGCAATCTCTAGGGTGAAAGCTGTACTTAAGTTTCAGGTGGAATGGCTACATGTGCCACTCTGCCCCCCCCGGCATGAAGCCTCCTTGTACACGGGATTTGGAAATGTGCTTGGAGCTAGGGTTAATAACACTGAATCTGCAGGGCTCTTGGGAAGTAACCGAGCTGGTGTCTGTAACAATGTTTGTCCCCATTACTGATTTATCGTGAGTAAACTGTACTGGCTTAATTGGTTTTCTTTCTTTTGTGAAGGGTAGAGTAGGCCCCAGTGATGTCTAGAAGTGATTATTTTCTGCAACTTTCCATTTCTGCTCAGGTTGCAATCTGCAGAGGTTCACACACCCTGTTAAATCCCAGCCACTTGTTTTTTCAACAAAAACTAAGAAACCTGCACTTGGTGAAGACTCTGTCCATATCAAGTTTAAGTTTTTCAGACTTTTCTAGCTAAGAAACCATACGTGCTTGCTTTTCAAATAGGGAGAAAGGTTTTCCTTTTTTTGCTTGCCAAAATGAAAAGGTTGAAAGGCTTCCCTGAAGCATTAAGACTTTGTTTAGTTATGGGCATCTTCAGTCCAAAAATGTCTTTCAGAGTTATGAATGCGTACATTGAGAACCTTTTTGGAACTGTGATTCTAGTGAGCTATAATAAACTCAAGCAATGAATTGAAAGGCAAAGGTATTGAATCCTAGTAACCTGCTTTTATGTTTCTTATACACAAGCCAGGTAATAAAAAAAACAAAAACAAAAAAACTGTTTTTGCCGTATAAGTTAATATTTTATTTCACAGATGCACAGCACAGCTTCTAACTTTTTCTGGAACCAGATTGGTTTTATGGATTAAGATATATTTGCTGAATATCGGGGTTAAATTTTAATAGGGTATTAATATATAGTATTTTCCTATTAAACTTTAATACATGAAGCTAGTGAGTGGTGAAGACAAATGTATCATGGCATTTAGTCCTTTTAGCATCATTTAACATAATGCATCCCTTTTAACCTTTCTTTAATGTTCATATGTACCACTGTGTTGATTGTTAAAAACAATTCGGAACAACTATACTTTCCCAATCGAGAGGAGTATGAGTGTTGGTAGAAGCTCTAAGAGCTGCCACTTCCTTCGCTGAATCAGTCAGTTTGCACTTCACGTAAATGAGTGGTACAGAACAATAATATCCTAGGATAATTTGGCCTTTCATGAACTGTACATCTGTCATAGTATGCATACTCCAAATGCTTATTAGAAAGTGTATAAAACTGTCTTCACAGTTTCTTCTTTATTTTGGAAATTAAAAAGAAAACAAGACCAAAAACCCAGATTAATTTAGGCTTTTGCATGTTTTTGTTTCCTTCTAGGCAGAGAAATTTGGAGATTCCTTTGTGTTTGAGGGCATGCTGAGTGAACAAGTGAAAGCTGAAATCCAACAAGCAGTGAGTAATGGCTTTTTCCCCATCTCCCCTTCCAACTGGTATAGAGCCTGCCTAGTGACCACAGACATGAAAGCTTTTAATATTTGCAACAATAATATTAAATTGTGCTATGTGCCTTAATTCTTTTACAAGAAAGTTGGGATCAGCAAAGAGGATTTGGGTTTCAGTAAAGCAATGAGAAGGACAATAGGCTTGGTGGTTTAATTGGTGCTGAGTCTTTGTGTACTATCTGTTCACCTCCAATGATCTTGGCTTCTGATGGGGAGTAATTTTTGCACCCATGGGATATCTGTACGCGAGTGCTTAGCACGCTGGAGCAGCCTCTAGTTGCAGTGCATTGGAGCAGACTCAATTAATCAAGTCTGCACTTCTTTACCTTTACAAGAGTATTGGATCTGATGGATTAATTGACACATGTAAAAGTGTGCATGAGCACAGCCTTTAAAACTTCCTTGATACCATATGCGGGAAGCCTGGGTTTAGTAGTACTTTGGATGCATTTCAGTACTAAAAAAGAGAGAGAGAGTGCGCTCCGGTCATGAACTGTGATCTTGTGGCATTAAGCACTAGTTATGTTCTTTGTCCCAAAGAACATTTTACATCTAGGTGCAGATTGCAGAACCAGCCTGGATTATTCCTTATTCAGTCCCTATTGGGAAGAATTTTTAAGAGGGCTGGATAGAAACTGCAACAGGAGGTGATAAAAATAACTCCCATACATGAAGTGTGGGTTTGGTGATCAAGGTGATCTAGAAATGCATACTTGTATGAGACTGGGAATTGGGAATCCTGGTCTTTTAGTCCTAGCTCTGTTCTAAATAAAAGCCTGCACTTTTTTGGAGGGGGTCCTTAGTTTGTCCATCTGTAGTGGCTTATTTAGCTGAACAACTTAGCCGTGGCAGTGCGAAGTGGTGTTCAGTGATCACAGATAACCCTGCACCTTCACAAGTTAAAAAGAGAGCTGGACTGTCAGTGACATGCAGTTATTCCAAAGGGAAACGACCCTTCTCATGGGGTCTTTTTGGCTCCCCTCACATCTGTTCCCAAAAAAGACTGCTGTATACATTGTCCTGCTTTTTTTTTTCTATTTAGGGGAGAGCAATTTTTCCTTTTAAACATCTGCAGAGGGTACCACTTGAGGCGGGGTGTGTGCGTGTGCGCACATGCACATCAAGCTTTCTTTTAGCAGGCAGAAGAAAGGGCAGGCAACTTAATATTTTAACACCACATCAGTTCACTTACACAAAAATTGTTCATCTTGCAAAGTGCATATTGTGCTTTTAAGTAAAGATACTGTCTTGCAGCAATTAACCCTGTACCAAGACCCATGGAAATAACTCTGCTGCCAGTGGCACCAGGATAAGAAAAATCCAAGAGATAATACCTGTAAATGCTTAAACCACAGCCTGAAAAATCTTTGGTAGGTGGGACTCCTGCAAGGCAGGGGCAGCCAACCTGTGAGATGTGGCAGATCAGGGAAGGGAGGGCAGCGCAGTGGCAGATGAAGTGGAGCAGAAAACAGAGCAGCAGATCAGGAAGGAGATCAGAAATGGCACTGAGGGCTTGAGGCTTAATTTGTAGCGTGGCTGCCAAATAGTTTGGCCTGTAATCCTGTAAGGAAAGCACTGTTAGGGATGCATCTTCTAGCTTTTTGGTGTCATGGGATATTGAGAGATTATATTGAACATAAAATAATAAAACATAAGGAAGTACTTGGTGTTTAGGTAGTGGTGTGTGCAGATGCTGAAGCTAAGGAAATGCAGGTTTGTATTGTAATTGGAACTATCGCTGTACTTGGAAATTTAAAAATGCAAAGAGAACACTTCCATGAGAAGCGAAATTCTTACTGTCCTCTTGCTGAGCTGCAGAAATCTACAAAGCAAGGTGTCTTAAGAAAAATGCTCCAAAGTTTTGTTTTTGTTTTTTTTTTTGGGGGGGGGGGGGGGGGGGTTTGTTGCTGTTTTTTTTTTTTCTTCAAGTTGTTTGGTGTTCCTGTAGACCCAACCTTAGCTGCCTGGATAAACAACTGAGCCATTTCCTTTAGCCTGGTGTCCCAAACTGATGGGTGCTAAATAACAAGAACACAAAAGGAGATGTGTTGAAGAATTAGTCGGGACCCCAAATTAGTTGTCTCTGCTTCTTCCCCACATAAATTTTCCATATTTGCTTAAAGTAGCTCTTACAGGACTGTCCTCTGCTTTGTTTTTCAGTGTTTATTATTAGGATGTCATGTAAGTCACTGGCATGCTGAACATCCTCACGGTAGGCATGGAAAAATATATTGTGCAGTATGTTGGCAAGCTTCCCAGGGGAGCAATAACTGGCCTTTCTTGTGGTTTAACATCAGGTTAAAAATGCTAACACTGTTGTCAAAAGGATGACCTAAAGCACTGAAACACGAAGTAGGAAAGCAGCTTTTTTCTCCTCTGCTAGCTGCATGCTCTGGAATGGGTGACTTACATTTGTATGGAAATCAGGACATGTTTCTCACAAGGTGAATGCTGTAGGCATGCTAGTTTAGTGTGTCTTTTTTTTTTTTTGTGGTGGTGTAATATGAGGACAGTCCACCGAACAGCGTCTAGTAATGACGGGTTGAGAGAAACCTCCTTACTCTGAGGCCCTAATATAAAAAAAAAAAAAAAAAAAAAAAAAGTGAAGGGTTGGAAAGGAGAAAGAGAGGGTAAACATGCAAATCCCAGGATCACTCAGCAGGTTGATGTTGAATTTTAAGAATAGGATCCAGGTCTCCTGCTTCCCCAACCAGCATAGTTTGCTAGACTGTTCTGCCTCTCAAAACGGCAGACCTTTCATGTATCATTGGGAATGGCATTTAATATTATGCTGGTCTTCATACTGTCACAAAAATCTACAAGGTGGAACAAGCAACATTTTCTTACAGACTTTCTAAAAGGAGTTTAAACTCGCTGAATATAGGTTCGTAGTAAGACTGTTCATCCAGCGTAAATGGAATCAGCCTGTCTAGGATATCATCTGAACGAGACTCTGGCCTTTTAAGTACATGTCCATTAGTGTTTCATTAGCGTTGTGCCTGTAGAAAGAACTCGTAAGGCATGCATTTACTATATAGATACATGCCTATAGTGGCTCTTTCAGGGCATATTCATTAGATGCTGCTGCTGAAACTTGCTCCCCACAAACAGCACCCCCCCTCCCCCCAGCCCCAAGGAGCTCCTGGGTAGGGCAAGCTGGGAAGTGCTGGGAAAAACATGGATGCTGAGCAAAGCAAAATCCAGGGCGGAGATCGGGATATAAATTTGTTTATATTTTAAGAAACTCCCTGGACGGAGATCAGAGGACCCAAAAAAGAGGACATGTCCGGGAAACTCCAGATGTATAGTAACCTAGGTTACCTTTGCTGCCAATTTGCTGTGCTCTGCCTCCAATGCCAAAGTGAGCATCTCTTTTCAGTCTGCCATTCACTGGGTTCTCAGAACTGCCCCACTTGTTAACTCTACTCAGAGGTGCTACTGTATCACCTGGAAGCCCACTTACCTGAAAGACTTTGAGTGGTCTCTAGGGAGAATTGGTGCAATAATAAATGCAGTTAAGGTGTGTATTCTTCCCCTCGAGTTGGCCTGCAGAGAAGGGTAAATGTGCAGCATTGGAAACTGGACTGGGTGTTCAGAACTGTGATTGGGGGTATGGTAAGCTTCTTAATGGCATGGAGCTAGCTGCAAGCATGATGTGCTTTTTAAGGACAGACTCCAAAAGTTCGTGGTCTTCAGGCAGTTACTGAAATAGTGGTATGTTACATTTTTGTTTTTGGGAAGGAGGAGAGAGTATTCATTTCCTGCCCAGTACTAATTTGTTGTTGCTGCTCTCTGGGCAAAGGAGAAACGTAAGCATGGTGCCATTATTCCACTTCCGTGACACTTTGCCAGTACACACTTGAACCAAAAAGGAACCCAAGAAACATCTCTGCTAAATGGAAAGGCAGTGAGGAATACTTGTTGGAAAAGGTACTTGAAAGCTGTCTCAAATACCTGCAGAAGCTTTCAGTTGAATGTGCAGCTACCATGAACAAGGTAAACAGGAGAGCACCTTGTCTGCCACTCATCAGTACACTGTAAATCCAAGGGTTCCTAAATGTGTTCACTGGAGGGAAGTGGGAGTTTGTTATTCTTGGCCTGAAGAGGATAAACTCTGTAACAACTTAATTTTCTTTTTTTTGCTTTTGTACCGGAAACCTACTTGTAAATCAGTTTTGGAATGAAGGAGCTGAGTTGATTTGTTTGATTTATGTTCCATTTGGGAGGCGTTTTAATCTTTGGCCTGGGAATGTCAGTGGATTCAGATACGCCCCTTGTTTGGAGGAAAATGTTTACTAGAGTGGTGTGGTTGGTGAATTAAGTCTTAGGCCATCAGACTCTCCATTCATTACCCTCCTCTTCTGTCTTTTCTCCCCCCCCCCCCCCCATACAAATCCGTTTAATCACCTATATAATCATCATGATAATAATCTAGATTGTCAAATCCTAGCAGACCCGTGTGGATGGCTTCTTGTGCTAAGGTCCTAGACAGACAGTGGGGAAAAAAAACTGTCCCTGGCTTGAGGGAACTAAACCTAGAATGAGAAATTGTTTTACTTGTATAACAAATGCGAGTCCCACCACCGAGTTGTTTCTGGGCATTGTAGCAGTGTGTGGAAGACAAGGAAGCTGCCTGTATTTCAGTAGAATACTTTTACTGGTACCTTTTTAAGGTCAATTCCTGACCGAATCCTGGAAACCTTGGAGATCAGGGTTGCCTCCAGACGAGCACGGCTGTGCAGTATGTGGCACTGCAGACGTGTCTGCGGTGCTGCATACTGCATATTCAGCTGTTCTCTGTGCTGCAAGGTAGCAGCGGGGAGGTGGGGGGTTGAGCCTGGGAGATCCTGGGGTCAAAAAAAGGAAAGCGGGGCAGCGCATGCGGGGGCAGCATGTACTGCCCAAAACCAGAGCCTGGCTGGCTGGAGCCATACTCCAGCTGCTGGCCAA